TTTTCTCGGGTATCCCCAAGCCGGAAAAAAGCGGCGGCCATGAAAATGCAAATGCCGCGGGGGATATTTAAATCCCTCGCGGATTTGCCTCTTCCAAAGTGCTACATTTGCATGCCTATTCCGTAATAGGCGGCCAGTGTAGACACAGCCTGTATGTATGTATTATCAATTCCTCAGATTGCCCAGGGCTGAGAGACAATGTATTGTCCTTCTGCCTCCACTGATAGGAAGATTTGCTTGTATGTAGGGTCAGCTGTCTCACACCACCACTCTTGCAAGTAGGAATAAGAGATCCTCCGGAATAGGGCTTTATTCCGGAGGATCGCGCCAGTCTGGACGCTTTTCTCCGGCTTATCTCCAAGCCGGAAAAAAGCGGCGGCCATGAAAATGCAAATGCCACGGGGGATATTTAAATCCCCCGCGGATTTGCCTCTTCCAAAGTGCTACATTTGCATGCCTATTCCGTAATAGGGGCCAATGTAGACGTAGCCACAATGTAAAGATTTCCTATAGTGTGATGAATTTCCAAACCTATTCTCTTGCGCTGGGAAAAAGGGAGATGAGCACGCTGGAACTTTTCAGTTGCTTCTTGAAGTTTCAGTTTCCTTTGTTTCAGGATCTGTTCTCTAAATCTTAGTTCTTTTTCTTCTTCTGCCTTCCATTTTTCTTCAAGAGCTCTATTTAAAAAGTAAAAACAACAGGATAGTTTGTTTTTTTGATTAACATAACTCAGGATTTATAATTGCAATCTGATAAATTCCTTCATAAAACTATATGCTTAATATCATATCCTTTTTAGTTTAAAAGCTTACTTCTTGACAGATTACGGTGCTACACAAATTGCAGAGTAAATGGAACATGAGGGTTCAATTGAGAACATTTTTTAAATTGGACAATGTCCTACAAGTGTCAAAAAAACAATATTTTTATTTGTTACATTTACTCAAATGATCTGATGCTCCCTTATGAGAGTGTAGGAACTGCCAAGCAAATCAAATCAGTATTTGGTCTCCAACATTGGCCAGTAGCAGATGCTTCAGAAGGAAAAATAATGTCACAGAACATATCCTCCCTGTAATATCTCTGCTGTCCAAGTGAGTCACTGCAAGTGCTCTATGCCTCAGTTTCTCATGTCATCAATAAGTTTAATTAGCTTT